TCACTGTGCCCTGAAAGAGATGCTCAATTGATACCAGAGGGCCCCATTTCTCTTGACAGCTCCCAGTTCTGTTTTCTTAACATGTGGTTTACGTCTAAGACAGGGTTTCCCTGTGAAGTGGTGGGATCGTTGTCAACAGCTCTAAGTTTATATCTTCAACTCTAAATCCAGTAGAAAAAAAGAGAGTACCTTTTTCTTACAGAACTAGCAAGGGTCTAGATTGTGTCTCATTGACTCAGATTGGGTTATGTGTTCAACCCAGAACCAATCACTGTGGCTGGAAGGATGAGGTCCTCTGATTAGCCAGGCTGGAGATAATGACTCTGGACTGAAAGCTTGGAGAAGAGGCAGGGATGGCCTTCCACACGTAAGGGGGGCATTTCCCCCCTCCGCGCCCTCTACCCCCCCGCCCCCTCCCCGTGTTACTGAGATATAACCGAAACATAACATTGTATAAGTTAAAATGACCTTGTTTTGGATCTTCAGGGCAGTCAGTTAAATAACTCCAGGGAGATATCATTCCCATTATTTTCTATGTGAATAGTGCCCCCTGGAATTGTGTAACCTGGAGGGCAGGCTGATTACATATTAATCTGATATTCACATGATTTTTAAAAAAATGTTAATTGTTCAAGTACAGTTTTCTGCCTTTTACTCCCATCCTAGCCCACCTCTCCAACCCTCCCCACCTCTCTCACACATGATTTTTTTTTTGGTAACTGTATTCTAAACTTTTTCAAGATAAGGGTTATATTATGATAGTTTTCATGCCCTTATGCACAGTGTTTATCATGCTGATTTTCCTTTAATCAAAATTCAGAAGATGTATTTAATTGAGTTATTGAAATAGCTTTCCTGGTGAGGTTATTAAATTAACTTATACACAGTTATGGGAGGAGCTGGATACAGATTCCTTATCCATCATGGTGAGGGAGTGAGGGGGAGGATGGAGAATCCATTTTTATAAAGGTCTCCAGGTGATTCTCTTCAGAGCATTTAAAAATTTTGTCTCAAGGTTTCAGCATATAAATATCAGGAAGCAGGTTGATGGACATAAAACTCTTCAGTGTACCACAGACAGCCAAAGAAAAGACTTTGGTTAACTCATGTTGCAGTTATCTATAGCTGAATAACAAATCTGTCCCAAACTGGGAGGTTTAAAATAATAGTCATTTCTTATTTCTCATGATCATATGGGTTGCTTTGGCTAAGCTGGGTGGTTTTTCAGCTCCACATGGTGTAACTTCAGTGACTCACACAGCGGCGTTCAGCTGGGAGCTTGGCTGGGGCTGGAACACTAAGAGAAGGCCTTTTTCCTTGTGACGTCTCATTGTCCAGTAGTCCAGCCCTAACTTCTTTACAGCAAGATGGCCGGCTTCGAAGGGGAGCAAGCTGAAGCTGACCATTCTCTTAACTGGGCATAGAAATCTCAGGATGTCACTCCTGCTACATATATTGGACAAGACAAGTGACAAGGCCAGCCCAGATTCAAGGGGGAGGAGGAAGGAAAAGAGACTCCACCTCTCAGTGTAAAGAGAGTGCACAGGGGGTGGAGTGGGTATTGGTGACCATATTTGGGTGCTATCTGTCACAGATATTCAGAGTTATATCTGGTACACACACTAAGATTGGCCATAACTCCAGGCCATCTAAACTGAAGCCCCCAAACAACAGGCTCCATACAATGAAATGCTATTGAGTGACAAAGAGGAATAAAATACCTATACATTCTAAAATGTGGATGCTCTTCAAAAACATCATGCTAAGTGAAAGAAGTCAGACACAAAGGACCACATATTCTATAATTCCATTCACATGAAATGTCCAGAAAAGTCAACTCTAAGAAGACAAAAAGTAGATCAGTGGTTTTCTGGGGCTGGTGGTAGGAATGGGGATTAATTGAGGTATGAGAAATCTTATTGGGGTGATAAAAGTACTCTAAAACTAGATTTTGGTGATGGTGACACAATCCAATAAATTTACTAGAAATCAATGAATTATACACTTAAGAGTGAAATTCATGGTATAGAAATTGTATTTCAATAAAATTGCGAAGGAAGTACAAGATGGTGGCTATAATTCAAGAGACAGGATTCTTTCTTTCTTTTTTTTTAAAGATTTTATTTATTTATTTTTAGAGAGGGAAGGGAGGGAGAAAGAGAGAAAGAGAGAAACATCAATGTGCGGTTGCTGGGGGCCGTGGCCTGCAACCCAGGCATGTACCCTGACTGGGAATCGAACCTGTCATGTTTTGGTTCGCAGCTTGCGCTCAATCCACTGAGCTACGCCAGCCAGAGCGTTTCTTTCTTTTTTTTTTAAAAAAAATATTTTATTTATTTATTTTTAGAGAGAGGGGAAGGGAAAGAGAATGAGAGGGAGAGAAACATCAATGTGTGGTTGCCTCTTGTGCACCTCGTACTGGGGTCCTGACCTGGCCCTCAACCCAGGCATATGCCCTGACTGGGAATCCAACTGGTGACCCTTTGGTTCACAGGCTGGTGCTCAATCCATTGAGCCACACCAGCCAGGATAAGAGACATGTTTTTGAAAGTATTGCATAATTGAACACTTTACAATTTGAGGCTAATTTTCCCATAAGAATAATTATAAAGTAGAGGGGATTTATTCTCAAAATATAAAATCCTACACCTAATTGTAGACTATTTTTGCTTTAACTGCTTTTTGTTTTCTTAGCTTTATATCTTTTACATAGTATTCTCTCCTAACTTAACAATAGACTGTATTGAGGTTGGTATCTGGACTTTGTCCATTGCTTTTTATCACATCTAACTTCCAGGTCAAAGCTACCGATTTTCCAGCGTGTTCTTCAATAGTAGAGTGATAACTTAAATGAACACCTGGATGACATTGTTATAGACTATTCAAATGACTTTAATTCTTAACAGCTGTCAAATTTAAAATGAGCACAATGGCTACTAAAATCACTGGTGGGGGTGTGAAGGCACGGGTGTAATGGTGCCTGCTGATCAAAGATGGCAGGCATTCCTGTTAAGCATTAGGTGACACTGTCCTATGGCATTAACAAAAATACAGTTTGCAAGTCACTCAGTTTGCCCATCTTGAAATTTTGCAAATTTTGAAAAATTTTTACATCTGAGGAGATTCATATTGTTTCAGATTTTGCTCAAGAGTGAGACTTTATTGTTATATGTGTATCACACTTTTTGAAACAATTCACATTCACGTGAGAGGCAAATATTATAATGTTGGCGATGGTGAGACCATGCCAACCTGGACTTTCCCTCCCACCCCCACTTACTGAGATGGGATAACGTCAACATTGAGCATGTGCATTCCAGATGGCTCATGAGCCCTTACTCTTTGCTTCTATTCAATTTGTAGGGGGTTTGTATTCTATGAATTTGCATTAAGTTTCAAGTTAGATTCAATAATCCTAAATACCAAGTGAAATTCTGTCTGATCCATTTAGTCTCTGGAGCTTGTCAGAAACTCCAAAATTGGCATGGGTTTTCTTCAAGGATTTATGAACCTGGGTTGAATTTGAGGTTCATAAAAGGGCCCAGGCAGAGTTGTCTTAGTCTGGGATTTCAAAAGCAGTGTTTTTGCACATTACTTTGTATACACATTGAGCAAGTTGTCATTGTCTGCTGGATTTATGTCCTGCTTTCCCTAAATGAGTGGACTATCTGCATTGGGTCTTCATCACTTCATTGATTTTATGGGTGGAATTGTGTCCCCCCACTCCAATTTACATGTTGAAGCCCTGATGCCTGGTGTCAGAATGTGACCTCATTTAGAGATTGTTTTTTACAGAGGTAATCAAGTTAAAATGAAGTCATTAGGGTGGGTCCTAATGCAATATGACTAGTGTCCATATAAAAAGGGGAAGTTTGGATACAGCCATGCACACTGGGGGAACGGCACTTGCACACATCAAGGCAGAGATCAGGGTTATATGTCTGTGAGTCAAAGAATGCCAATGATTACCTGCAAACCAGTAGGAGCCAGGGAAGAGGTCTGGAACAGGTTCTGCCTCACAGCTAGCCAAAAGAGCCCACCCTGCTGACACCTCGGTCTCAGACTTCTAATCTTTGGAACTGTGAGATGTTGAACTTCTCTTGTTTAAGCCACTCAGTGTGTGGTACTTTGTTATAGCTGTCCTAGCAAACAAATACAATTGGTATGATAAGAAGATAGACAAATGGCATTTGTTTGGGATTTTAGCCAGATTCTGCTTATGTATTACATCAGCTGATTTTCATAAGAACTCAGAAAACTAGGCAAAAACTTCACTACATGTAAGTTAATGGAGACTGAGAGACTCAGCCCCTTTCCTTAGTTGACACTGGGACAAAGAAATCTAGTCCTCTTGTGTTTATTACTGGGAGGGTTTGAGAATCAAAGGCAGCATTAACAGAGATGATCTAATCTATATTATTAGGAGTTGAATTAGATAATAACAAAGAGCTAATGGTTTGTTAATCTCCATGTGTCAGGTGCTATTTTAGCTCTACCACATTTCATTTATAAAAATTATTATTTTTTTATTTTATTAAAGATTTTTATTTATTTATTTTTAGAGAGAGAAGAAGGGAGGGAGAGAGGGAGAGAAACATCAATGTGTGGTTGACGCTTGCACTCTCCCTACTGGGAACATGGCCTGCAACTCAGGCATGTGCCCTGACTGGGAAACAATCCAGTGACCCTTTGGTTCACAGGCCAGCACTCAGTCCTCTGAGCCACACCAGCCAGGGCTCTCATTTATTTTTATAAGAACTCTATGAAATAAATACTATTATTATTTCCATGTCATAGGAAAGAAGAGTGAGACACACAGAGATTATGTAACTAAGGAAGTGTTTACAGCTATGTGAATGAGTTCCTAGGAGATTTTACCACAATACCAGATCAATTATTTTAATGTTTCTACACTGCCTTTCAGACTTTTTCTTTCTTTCCTTTTTCTGCAGTTTTATAAGTTTGATAATAAGCCATTAGTTCTTATTCACATTAACTGTTTATAGATTTTTGAAAGTGGTGGCAGGTACATAGGTGGCTAACGTATAGAGCCTGTTTGGTGAATCTTCATCCTCATTATATTTTCTGGACAACTGCATCCAGATCCAGCATGGGACATTTCTTATTCCTTTAGTCCAGACAGCTTTGCTGAACCAGGAGTCAATGAGCACATCTTTAGTTCCCATCTCCCTCCTGGCAAATTTCTGGATCTCTGTGAGCACCTGAGGGACGTGCTTCTTGCAGCCCACTCCATGGATGCACTTGTGAATGTTGGTGGTGTTTTCTCTGGTCACTACCGCGTTGATGGCAGAAGGGCCTTCTTCTTGCATCCTCCTTTGTGGGAGTCATTATGCCTGCCCCAAGGTCCAGACTTTATTCATTTGCATAAACAATCTCTACCTAGGGTAATAATAACATATAAAAATTGACATTTTGTTTTCTTTCCATTTAGTATCATACCAGAAGTCTTTTCCTTGTCTTAATGTAACATCTGTTTTGATCATTTTAATGAATATTTCAGAAACTCTCATTAAGTTTAGAGGTTTTTCTCTTTGGGAGAATTTAAGAGTAATCTGGCTAAACTTGAGAAAAAGTTCACATGACTCTGCAGGTCACCTGCAATATTATATTTCTTGTGCTTTGGTGCTTAATTAGCAAACACCAATGATATTTGTAGAAAGCTCTTCCAGTTACTATTGCTACATAACATGGCACTCCAAACTTTCTGTAAACAGAAACTGTTTTATTATGTTAATGGATACTGTAGGTTAGGAATTCAGAAAAGATATAGTCAGCAGAGTGGGCACAGCTTATTTCTGCTTCTTGATGTCTGGGCCTCATCTGGGAAGATTTGGAGATTAGGGCTCAGCTTGATGAAGGTCTGAAATCACCCAAAGCCTCTTTCACTCACGTGTCTATGGGTTGATGCTGACCGTTGGCTGAGATCTCAGCTGGAACCTTGGCTGGAACATCGAGAGCTGGCTTCTTCATACTTGGACTTCTCCATTGCCTGGTGGCTGAGTTCCAAGAGCAAACATCCTAACAGAACCAGGCAGAAGCTGTGACCCTTTTATGAACTTGTCTTGGAAGTACATAGCGTGAGTTCCACCATTAGTCATAAGGCCTGCTAGGGATCAATGGAGGGAAACTAGACCTTCATATCTTGAGGAGAGTTAAAGTCACACTGAGGGCAAGTAGGATGAGAGTTATCATTGTGGTTAGTTTTGAAAAATAAAAACGGTCACAAGGTTCTTGAAGTATAGCTTTCCATTTATTCGCGATTGCTCTCAGTTTGCTTTCACAGTGCTTGTGAACAAATACAGTATGGGGCAAAAATAGGTTTATAGTTGTGAGTATGTGAAACACAGGGTTTATTCTTGTATTATTATTTATTAGTTATATTTTTAAGAAACTTTAATCCTCACCCAAAGACACTTTTTTTATTGCTTAAAAAAAGGGAAGGGAGAGAGAAAAACATTAGTGTGAAAGAGAAGCACTGATTGGTGTCCTCCCGTACACACCCAGACTGGGGAATGAACACACAGCCCAGGCATGTGCTCTGACTGGTAATCGAACCTGTAACTTTTCGGCTACGGGATGGTGCTCCAATCAGCTGAGCCACACCAGCCAGGACAAATTATTGTATTATTTTCCTTGCAAACAACTGTAAACCTGCATACTTAAAATATAACCATACCTCTCTTTTATTTAGATTAAAAAATTGTAGTTTTTTGGATATATTTTGGCCTAAAAAATCGTTGCTGAAGAATGTACTAATTCTGATTTTATGACCAACTTTATAACTTTGGACAAGTGACTTCTCTCAACTTCAGCTTCTTCATCTGTAATAATAGAATCTACTTCGTTGGGCTGTTGTAAAGGTTACGTGCATTAATGCAAGTAAAGCAGTTAGTATGATGCCTGGTTCATAGTGAGCACTCTGTAAACAGCAGCTGCTGTGTTGTCATCATTGTAGTCAGGGCATGGGTGGCCAATATTATTTTTTCCCCCAGCTAATGTGAGGGGTGCCTTGACCTAGTGCTTTGATAACAGGAAACCTCAGTATTATCTTGTTTTAAAATTTCCAATAACCTTAAATTAAAATGTGGGATAATAAAAATCTGATTAAAAATGGTGGCAGAATGAATTTAACTGGACCTTGAAGAATAGTATGTTGAACTGGTGTCATGAGGTTCTTGCAAAACTCGAATGGAAAAGAAGTCCAGTGAAACTTGAATTGAGAATACGGCACTTTGAAGAGTTGATTTGATGTTGGAATCCCCAGTGGTATCACCTGGGGTCCATGTTTTCATTTCTTCACCTTTCACCTCTTGGCTCAGACATATCTAACACTCTTCCCATGAGTCTCTGCATGTCCTTGTCCTTATAAGGCTGAGCTCCCTACTCTCCACTTGCATGTTTTCCCAGAGCCACCTATATTTTACATTCTACAGCCTTTTGGAACAAAACATTGCCTTTTCCAGCTTTTACAAGAAATTGAATCCCACTGAGGACATTTATCATGATTTTTATAGGTCTATTAAGGTCTTGGGCTGTGGGGGAAAAGGTTCAGATTGCAGAACATTTAAGAGGCTGTGCTTTCTTGCCTCTTATTGAACCCTTACTTTTTGCCTCCTGAAAATCTGAACTCTAGATACCATGCCCTCCCAGATGATTAACCCTCTTAGAAGGCATGGTCTAACTTGTTATCTAGAAAGAATAAGTAAGAAAAAACTTTAACAGAGAGAAAATTTGGGAGGATTAAAATAAAGTCTTTGCTTATATAAAGTTTAATGGTGTTTTTGACCATGGAAATGCAATTTGACTGGAGTATGCTGAAATATGCTCTATATAGATTGTCCCATGTCATCCTGAGACCAGCACTGTGAAGTGAATACTATTATTAATCCTTACTTTGTAGATGAGGAGACTAAGGCTCAGGGAAGCAGTAGAAAAAGCTATTTGAAGCAATGATGTCTAACTACAGAAGCTTCACCTTTAAATATTATTCTGTTCTATGTTATTGATAACTCTGTCTGGTCTTTCCCACTACGGGGCAAAGAATTTTTCAAACTTAAATGGTTTAAGGAAGAGTTGCATGTTTCTCTGATCTTCAGGAGCTTCTTTACCTTTTAAGGGGAAGTTCTATGACTCCCATCTACTGATAACTTGGTACTGTCCCAATTTTGTTTTTTCAAAGTGTTTTTTACATGCTTACTTAAAGTATTTTATTGGAGAAATCACTAATGTGCAAGAGTTACAAATGAATCAATATACCGTAAAAGATGTTCATTAGGAAGATAAGACCTCCCTAGTTTTTTTAGCAATTATTTTATATTTCTGATTAATGATTTCATTTGGGCCATTTTAGTGTTCAGTGGTCTTCATTTGTTAGTGTTGATTATATAATTCCATGCCTCATTGGAATCTGACTCTTTTTGACCAACAAATGTGAATTAAAATCAATAGAAATATCATTAGCATCCCAATATCATGAAAGGTAGTATAACCATTTCTCTTGCATTCAGTTTATTAAAATTTGCTAAAGTGTGAAGTATGTAGGACAAGTAATGAAGTTTTAATCTTTCACCAAGGTAACAATTGAAAGCTGATTGATTCTATTCAGTAATTATAAAATCAGAATGATGGAAGATTGTAATCAAGTAGGATTCATTCTCCTACTTTGTCACTCCTCCATGCAAGATAAAACTCTAATTTGCATCATCTCTTTTATCAGAAAAGAAATCAGACGTCTGTTTGATTCACTAAATCCAGGAGATAGATAATAGCCTTTCCTGACTCTGGAGGGGGTGGTAAGGCACAGCCGCTGCCTACTAATATCAGAGAAGAGGGGAGAGTCCTTTAAGACCAAATGGTCTCCAAGAGAAGGGCCAGCTCTGTTGGTATCTAAATACTTGTATTCAGACTACAACATTCTACCAACTTTTGCACGACCTATCTATATTGAGTAAGGTAGGAGCTTGTCTATTACAGTCCTGCTCTGCCTGATGTCCTTAAGACAACCTTGGGAGAATGTAGCTGACCAAACATTACAGGCTGGTGGTTAATTATTCGGCCTGTAAGGCACTGAGGGGAGCTGTTTTTTTTTTCTAATGAAGAAGACTGTCAAGGATCATAATTTCTTTGTTTCCTTCTCTTTGAAGATGTAGGAGAATTATCATTGGCTCATGGATGTATAGTTGTTAGTCTAGGTGTAAAGAGTGGGGAAGAGAAGAACACTGTGGGCAGGAAAAGGAAGCCATGCTGTTAGATCTAAAATCTGGAAATGCAAACCCTGGAAAATAAGGCACCCAGGAGAGTCAGCAGGTGCTATAACTCCACCCCCCCAACGAGTTTTATTGAGAAATAATTGCTATACATCACTGTATAAGTTTAAGGCCTAAAAATGATGTTTTGATTTACATAGATTGCAAAATGATTACTATAAAAACTTCGGCTAACATCAGTCATCTTATATAGATACAATAAAGAGAAAAGAAAAAATTCCCTTATGATGAGAACTCTTAGAATTTACCCTTTTCACAATTTTTCTATATATCTGTGTAACATACAGCAATCTTAACTATAGCCATCATGCTGTACATTACATTCCCAGTACTTATTTGTCTTATAACTGGAAGTTTGTATATTTTGACTACATTCCTCCAGTTTCACCTTCCCTCATGATCTGCCTCTGGTAATCACAAGTCTGATCTCTTTTTCTATGGGTTTTTTTTTTTAGATTTCTTCTTTAAATGAGATCATAGTATTTGTCTTTCTCTGTCTGACATTTCACTTAGCATAATGTCTTCAAGGTTCATCTGTGTTGCTGCAAATGGTAGGATTTCCTCATTATTTATCACTGAAATATATATGTATATATCACAAGCACATATACCACAACTTTTTTTTTAATCCATTGATCCATCAATGGACACTTAGGTTCTTAGATTATTTCCATGTCTTGGCTATTGTGAATAATGCTGCAATGAACATGGGGGTCAGATGTCTTTTTGAGTTATTGTTTTAATTTCCTTTTGATATATTACCACAAGTAGAATTACTGGATCATGTGGTAATTCTATTTTTTGAGGATTCTCTGCACTGTTTTCCATAGTAGCTGTGTCAACAATGCACAAAGGTTTCCTTTTCTCCACATCCATGCGCCATTTATCTCTTTTCTTTTTGATGATGGTCACTCTAACAGGTGTGAAGTGATAGGTGCCTACAATTTTAGTGGCTCATATCCATTATCTAATGGGCTTGGTTGGTGGCTTTGACAATGAGGGTTGGAGAGTAGACCACATCTAGTTGTCGTTGTTTCATAATT